CACCCCAAAGCAAACATTTCCCACACAAAAACGTAGCAAAAACATTAAAACATTACATCCAGTCTGTTACATTATGTTGTCAGGCTTAATGTCTATAATGTGATTATTAATAAGTTTTCGCCTGAACACCGCGGTGGTTGATTAGCTGATTTAAACAGCTGCTCTACTGATGACTTGGTGGCGGGTTGTTAATGCTAACGGAACCAAAACACACCGAACTGCGCAGCACATGCTAAGGTTATCAAAGTCAATGTCAAAGTCAATACCAGGCCAGCAACAGTTAGGCTAGTATAACTGACCCACTGCTGACTTGGTCAATGGTAACGTTTTCCTCACCTGTGAAATCTGAAGCCCTTATTACCATCATCTATGGTTGAATTAACTGCTAAACATTGCGTCCGCTGTTCTTTTTCTTTGCGTGATTGTAGTATTTTCCTGACCACCGATATTCCTGACTCAGTGGACAGCAATGGCGCATGTGTGACTTGCGATAAATCACTAATGTCCAGTCCAATAATATATCCATCAATGCTGCTGGCGCTCTGTCCTTCTCTCGCACTTCCCTACTTAGCAGTGGGTGTCAGGTTACATTGTGTTGCATTCAATGTTGTCGGAAAAAAGAGATTCATGCGCTTAATGTCCGATTTGCCATAACTATGTATTGAATTTATTGTCGCTAGCTGGGGTGGCAACAGGGATGGCAAGGGTCTCGTTGGGGGGGGCAACTGCCACCCCATGCCACCCCAGTAGATCCGCCCCTGCATAGACGGACAAACATTTTTGTTTAAAGAAAAAAGGCAAACAGCCACATAACGTTCAGATAAAAATCAGGGTAATGCAATTTCTACATATGATTTTCAAATTAAGTTCAGGTGAATGACACATAGAGAACCAGTCATTAATCTGAACTTCTACCTTGATAATAAACTGGTTTTAGGTTTATTAATTGTATGAATTTAATAAAATGTTCTTCAAAATGAAATAGGGTTAGTTCTGAGAGGATTTTATTTTAATTTCCGAGGCAGCAGGCCCCACTGGGACTGTGTCACTCCACAGCTGCTTGTCTCTCATTAATGTTAGCAGATGTTGGCAAGTATGATGTTGTCTGATTCTGTTTCACATATTTACAGCTCTGGAAAAAATGATCAATTCTCTTATTTTACTGTTTATAGGTACATGTTGAAGTAAAATGAACGTTATTGAACTACTGACATGTCTCTGAAATTCCAAGCATATATTTAGTATTTATTTTGAGATAATGAGAAATGGTCAAATTAACAGAAAAGATGCAGTGCTTTCAGACCTCAAATAATGCAAAAAAAGAAGAAGTTTATATTCATTTAGAAACATCTAAACTAAGGTTTTAACTCAGGAAGAGTTCAGAAATCAATATTTGGTGGAATAACCGGGAGGTTTTCAATGGGTCTCTTCATTTTTTCCAGAGTTGTATGTAGTTGTTAACAGTTTTAGTTAGACAAAACTATTTAATTTCATATGCGAATGTATGTGAATAAGCAGTGAGATTTAGAAAAATGCACCAATGAATATCTTCTTTTATGTCTTAGCCCTGCAGGGGGCTAAGCACCCCTAAAGGTCAGATCCTAGAATCGCCCCTGGTTAGAAGATTAAAGTCAGACTTAATATAAATCTGTACTAACAGTTTTTTAATTCACATATGAATGTACCGTCCTCCTGTGCTGGGATAATTTAAACATCCCATTTCACTGTTAAGCTATTGTTATTATTCTCCAGAAGGTGGCAATATGAAGGACACAGTGAGAGCTTTTTCATTGCTGACTCCTGAGCTACAGCCTTTAAACAGTAGATGCCTGAGGCCACTTCTCTTATTGATGGCTTTCACAGTTTAATATTTCACTCCACTCTTAAACCGTCTGTCTTCTCTATACAGAATACAGACGTCGCTGTTCTCAAAGAGTGTCCCTTTGCCTTGGCGCAGCAGCAGAGATGCAGCTTCTCAGGTCAAGGCACAGCTGTCCGCTTCTATCTAAAGGAAAAGGGAATGTCTTTAAACCAGCCACGCTTCTAAAGGCCAGCATGAAGCATTTCATGCTGTTGCAAGAATTCAGTTTGAGGAAAATTACTATTTCACTCATGAATATCATCCCTGGAGAGTTTATTCTCTCATTACTTGGTAAACAGGCTTTCAAAATACCTAGAAGAGGACGGCCGAATTCAGAACGTCCAAAATAGTCGTCAACAAACATGTTTTTGGTGTCACAGTTGGGGTTTTCATCTTTTATGTGGGTATAGATTTTCCTCAGCAGCTCTGGAAAGCAGAAGATGCAGGGGATGATTGATTAAAAGATAAATAATGGTGAAGACAATACAACAAAACAATAAAAAAATACAATTGAAGTAAAAAAAAAAAGGAAAGAAATACAGTGCAGTTACTATTTTTCCAGTTTTGTTTACTTTAAATTCTCATACTTGTTGCTTTAGTCAAACTGACTTTTGAGGACGGTTTGAGCTGATATATGGTATATAGCCATATATCAGCTCAATATGAAACATACATACATATTTGGTCAAAAATCTATCTGCAAGAGCAAAGAGTGGAATATTTCTGATGCCAATCACAGCAAAATATTAACAGTTTAAATTCTGGAAACAGTTCCCTGCACTCTTACAACTAAACATAGCAATCAAAATTGTTAGAGAAAATAGAAAATGAAGTATGATTATCTTGTGTTTAAAATACCAAGTGTCTCAATGAGATTTACCCATATAAGTAAATGTATTTAAATACAAATATATCCAATGGCTTTAACATTTGCACCAAACACTTTGACCTCTCTGATATTAAAAAGACACAAACACAAGTCATGTTTAACATAATTTATATTTATTTTCCTTTGAACAAAATGTTAATAAATGTATTTGTTTCACGTCCAAAAAAGGTCATGACTTGTGGGACGCATTTTTATAAATAATTTTCATCCAAGTCTTTTGTAGAAAAAAAAAGAAAGTAAAATAGCAAACTAAAGCATCTCTAGTATGACAATATGACAACTTTTATCATATTTTTTTCTCTATAATTAAACCTTTTCTCATTTCAAGCTTTGTCTTTTTCATATATATATTGATATATATCTATATATTTTTAAAGACCTCTTTATGTCATCCCTTTAAACATCCAACTTTGTCCTACTCATCAACTCACACCACTGCTTTAGACAACAGAAAAATGTGGCAAAAATCTCAAAAAACAGACAAAAACCAAGGAGCCGAACAGAAAACACAGAGAGTCCAACGGGTGGGGGAGGGGAGACCAGGAGAGGCAGAAAGGGGCGACTTTTAGGGGATCCCACATCCTCAGGACATATTTACAACAGAAAGGACTAGAGGAGGCGAAGAACAGCGGCTGGGGATATTTGAGGCGGGGGGTTCATCTGCATAGATCCACAGGACTCAGTCAGCTAATGATTAAGGGGGGGCAGAGCCAAACATGTGGGCAGAGAATGTCTTCTCCTATCTGGGAGGCCTTAAAAGAAGGGTCAAGGGTCGTCCAACTGGGCCAGATTCAACGGTTGTTATCTGATGCCGAAGAGGAGTCACTCATACAATGCTTCCACCGCTAAAAGTATTAGAACAGATCAGCCATTAGAAAACAACAACCATGTTGTTAACGCAATACTTTCTCAGTGATTCAGCTTTGGATAAATGTCTTGTTTTTGTCCTATCGCTAGTAAAAAAGGGGGGATAAAGATGATTGACTACAAGGCGGCATTTGAAAATAGGGAAAACAGCATAAAAGTGGATGGATCAGCCCTTTAAAAACTCCTCACACTTCTTGCACACTGACTCTTTGCTAGTCAGATAAAGAACGTAACTGATCAACTCGTCGGGTGATTTTCAGAGTAGGTAGTTTGACTGACTGACTTGTACGAACTCTGAGATCCTGAAAAGCCAAACTGACCACAGGAGAACTTGTCTAGAAGAAGAAGCTAACCCTGAAGTGTTTCGGTTTCACCACTTTCTCCCCCTTTGACGCCATCAGACGCCTCATTCGGCCAAAAATCACCCAAAGATCCGGGAGCCTCATTCGTCAAGTAAAATATTTGCGGCCAACTAGAGCGGCCAGAAACCTCCTGAGTTCCAGTACTCCACAAGAGGACTCGAATAAGATCCCACGCAGGTTTCACTGCCACTTATTTAGAGGCAAAAAGGTTGATTCCTCACCCCTGTGTATTTAACCCCCTGCACAATGTCAACTGCAACTTTTGGGAGATGCTACAATTTAAAAGGCAGTATCTTTAACCTGTAGGGGGTTGAACTGAATTGGTCTCTTGACTAAAACACCACACCAGGACACAAATACATGATGTTCTTTCTGGTTGCTAATTGGGCAGATTGTAAAGATAAACTCTGAAGTGAAGGGATCAAAGTCGATGTAGAGCCCCAGAAAGACTTTAGTGAATGTCCGGATGAATACATTTTTCTGGATATTAATAATCTAGCATGGTTACCTTAAGACAGGGAGGCCAGTTCACCAAACACCCCATTCAAATCAAAGCATCTGGTTCCCCCAAAAGTGGGCTGGCCATTCAGGGGTGAAGGACATAAGGTGAGGTTGAACCTACTTACCTACACAAAGAAGCATTGATCACCTAACTGACTGGATTGTCTGGATCAGCAGAAGTTCAGTTTAGCTTTTTTGCTTACATACCAAGGGCACAATGGTAACTTTTCTGTACTGGAGTAGGAATACAAATCTGTTCTATGAAAGCAGTTCTATGAACGACATTGAACCTTCCTTTAGTGCAGAAACCTCAGAAATGAACTACCTCAACTAGCTCTAAGAGTTTTCCACTCTATATTGTCTCTTTGTTGCTAGTTCTTGGTTTGCACCAGTTCTTTGTGTTTCCACCATCTCAAACTCTAGCAATAGTACAGATGAGGTGTTTATTTGGGCACTTTTTGTTTGGCCTGAACCCTTTTCCAAACTTTGGTCTAGACTAAATGAGTGAAGTCTGGTCTGCCTTAAAACATTGGTTGTGGTTTTGAAGTTGTAAACTTTCCATGGGAAGTGTACTGAATAAATTTGGAATCTTGTGTCATAAAGACTGTATCTTAATAGGGATTTGAATGATATATTTGAGCATAATGTTGACTAAAGCAACCAGATTTCATGCAAGCACACATATCTATTTTATTCCTCAATCGCATGCATATGGCACACTGTTGTCTGAGGCCACGCCTCCATTACATGCAGTTAACTTCCAAGCTCCTGAATTAGCAGGTTTTGCTAATATTATTGGGTAAACATATTACAGGAATGGTTTTCATATTTAACCCTTGTGTCCAGAAATGGGGTCCAACTGACCCCACACACGTATTTGCCACAGTCTTCTACGTTTGCCTCAGTCCTCGCACGCACAAGGGTTAACTGTTTTCTATAGCAAAAGAAAATATTTATATCTATGTTTGGATATTATGCGGTTTGTTTAATCCTCGCGCGGGAAAGAAAGCTTCATGCTCGAGGGTCGCACGTTTTTTTATTCTTTCTAATAACTTTCGCGTGGTTTCGGAACTGAAATAGCCCTGCCATTGCCTTCTATGGGAAGCCAAACGTGCCAAAACGTCATGCAAAAAACATGCCAGTTTATGAGTTGGGCCTCTTTTTACACAGTTTTAAAACCACTGGCCAAAATTAGGGTTTTGATTTTGGCAGTTTTCTTATGCATGACTTCCGGTCCTCCTACTGTGACATGTGCTTGTTGTTCCGGCGTCGAGCTGAGAAGCTTGCAGGGTTGTGTCCCGGTAAATCCCAGGAATATCCCATAATTCCCATGAAAAGTTTTCAAATTGTAATAATATCTATTCCAACTATTGTGGATCATCTAATCAAAGATAATCGGCCAGAATTTTGATTTTGATGCTGCAAACTGTTTTGAACTATTTTATTGAGGTGTTTTAATTGATACCTTGTAAGGTGAAAGCAGTAGGAAATTCTGGTGAAAATAAAGTGAAATTTTAAAAAACACAATTTTAGAGTTCACCATTTATCATAATAAATCTTTCACTTCGACTCAGTTGTCTTGTTGCACCTTAATCTACGTTTATTTATTGTGTTTATTCTTGTGTGTAAAGAGAGGCACTTTATTAGTTGAGGCATGAAGTAATTTCTTGCTAAATTAGAGCGCTTACTGGTGAGAATTAGAGCGGTTTAGGGTCGCAGGAAAACAGATGCAGACAATAAATGCCTTTTCTTAAGCTTGGAAGTTGAGAGCAAATGTTTACAACTCTGCCTCCTGCTGTTTATTTTGATATCACCCTCTGCTATGTTCTAATAAGTCCCAGCTGTCTGTTATTATAGTCAAATCTGGAGTTTGTTTATAACTTTTAATGACTAAAATGGGGATACTCGTGCATTTGTTTTGTAGGAATACTGAGATAAATAATAAAAGTTGTTTTCTGGTTGTGGAAACCCAAACTGGACCAGTTAAGAAGTGGGTTTTGCACCATCTCTGGTGAAGCAGTGGAACCGATTGGTGGGAAAAGCCTATTAATGGAGACAGGTTCATGGTTGATGAGTGAGGCTCCCTGTGTTCTGGCCTTTTCCAACTCCAGCGTTCTCCCACACAACCAATTTAACCAGAAAGACGAGCCACTGTGGTGTAAGGTGAACTAAACACTTTAGAACAAGCAGCGTCCTGTCAAAGACTAAAAAAAAAAAAAGTCAAAGAAAACGCCTCGGACAGTTGCAGTGTCACCAACTTTCCCACTTGACTCCCAACTTATCCAACTGCAGAACAAGTCAGAGGAGGAAGCGAGTCTCAGAGCACTTAAGGTCCTAAAATGCTTAGGCATGTGCCGTTGTAAGGGGTTCACAAAAGATCCAGTAGAAAAAAGAAAAAAAACATAAGCTCGACAACAGAACACAGGAGAACCACATTTCTGAGGGAAAGCATGACCCACAACTAAAGGATGAGCTGATGCCAACAGGCCCTTGAGCAAACAACATGAACGGCACACCAATGGAGATGAAGGATTGAAAGAAGAACAGCGCGGAAATGTCAAAATAATCTGACACCCAGGGGGAAAAAGTGCAGCAAAAATCTAAAGGTAACGATGAGCTGGAATGCACACGTCGTCAATGTCCGTTTCACCCATCCAGACACTGAAACCAGAGGAGAGGGAAGGTAGGAGGGGGAGGAAAACAGGGACGATATGCTAGAAAACATTTGGATGAGATAGAAACAATGAGCAGGTTTCTAGTGGCAAGAGGTCAGTTCTTCGTAGGGCGTGGTCCCCGAATATCTCGGTTGGGTCGATGTCCGCTCCCAGCCCAGAGATCTCCAGTTCAAGCCCTCCCGCGTTGTGTGATTGACGCTTCGTTTGGCAGCAGATCGCGGTGACATCTCTGGCACACCTCGCCAGATGCGTCCCTGGGAGCCATGACACTGTAAAAAGCCATAACCCCGCCCCCCCGACACCCCCCCCCACCCCCCCATCGAGGGGTTCACTCCTCGTTCGGAGCGGCCTCCTCCGGCGAGAAAATGGCGGCCACGTCCAGCAACGTAGAGTTATGCGAGGCTGAGATGATGATGACAGTCTGTAGGAGGACGAGGGCCAGCAGGCATATCTTCAGTCGCCCGCTGCACAGTCTCGGGCTGGCGGCGGAAGTGACCGAAGCCCCCTCGGGCTGGCAGGAAGAAGCAGTCCTTTTAAGTGTGCTGCCTGAAGGGCTGTCCATTTTGGAGTCCCATCGAACGTCGCAGCACTCCGCCTCGCCGTCTGATGGATGGTCTCCCAGGAGTCCTGGGAAAGAAACGACACGGGATGAAAATGTTGACAGATGACAGCTGTGTTTGGGCTGCAACGGGACTTTTAACAAGCAGACACAATCAACAACCTGCTAACAAGCTTTAAGTTAAGAAAGTGAAACCAGATGCTGTGTGTGGGTGCCAAAGCTTTTGGAGACGGCTGTATTTCTCAGTCCAGTGCATCACTGTGTGGCCTTGTTGCTTCTGAATTGCAATGAATAGTGCAAGTCATAAGTTTACATACACCCATGTATAGGAATGTTTCAGACTTAGTGAATTTTACAACAGAGAACCAGAAGCAAAGGCTGGAAATTCAATTTTCAAATTATCTGATCGGCAGCGTCTGAATTTTACATGCAGGCTCAAAAATAAACACACACCTCACTTAAATTTAACCCTGAGAAGTTGACCGCTCTTCCTGGCAGAAGAAAGAAACTTCATTCAAGTTTGACACAAATTGAAGCATAGATGTGTCTGGTTATAAAATACAGCAGGTAAAATTAGTATTTTTCAGAGTAAATATATTTGTAAATGCATTATTGACATGAAATTTGCAACAGGTGTTGATAATAAACCAAGTAATCCATAAATAGAAGTAACTACACTTTTTAACTCATTTTTTTCCTTTTCTTTTTATGTATGAATTGCTTCATAGTAAACATTTACAAATACATTTAGTATGAAAAATTGTGATGAGTTCGATCTGCTGTAAATCTATGGAACTGGATAATAAAAAAAAATCAAATTAGAGGACATTTATTCAAATATTTAAATATTTGAGCCAGTATGCATAATTTAGAGTAGAGAAAATTCACAACAGATTAAAAATTGTCCAAATTGTTGCTTTCTAAACATTATTCGAGACATTTTCACGCTGAAACGGCACTGAAAGTAAAAGAAAACGTTGCTTGTCTTCCCTCAGATAGGGAGTGATACCAGCTACAGGTGACATTTGCTCCTCCGTGGTTTAGTTACAACTGAATAAACTGTAGTAAATACAGAGAGACAAGCCAAATTCAATTTATCCATGCAATTTTCAAAATGTCCTTGGACGCTCGCGGCAGTTCTCGCTCCGGCCACTAGATGTCATCAGAAAACCTTCAGAAATGCGTCTTCCAGCAGGGACACCGTGGAGTCAATCAGTGCATGAATTCATTCTCCGAATCGTTTCATAAAATGACATTTACTAGAAAAAATCGAGCTTCAGGAAGTGAAGGCCAGGGTTCACACGTGCATATTAACCTGTGCAGATGAAGCTGGGGTTTCCGCCGTGGATCAGGTCGTCGTTGTCGGGCAGGATGAACGGGCAGCTCTGCTGGACCTCCAGACAGTACCGATGGCACGGTATCTTCCTCTGACAGGACTGCTTGATGTTGGGGAAGTACTGAGCACAGAGCCAGGGCTTATAGGCCATCTGAGGAGGAGGAGGAGGGAGAGAGAGGGAGGAAAATGACATAAATAGATGCAGGTTCATGATCCCCTGGAGGACTGGAGGAAGTTTTCTGCCTCTGCGTGTGTTAATATCACATCCAAACAGGAGCCAAATGACTTTTGTTTTTTCATAATAAGCAGTAATTACCTGCTTGTTTAAACCACTTACCATCTAATAGGAATGTTTTGACAAGCAAAATGGAAACCCAGCATTTAATGCAGTGAAAGCTGAGGAGATAATAGCCAGGCTAACCAGCTGCTTGCGATCTACTGCAGGCGTTCTGCTCGAGTCGGTGTGTGTCACCGCGGTTTAAAGCCAAAACGGGTTTTCTCCTTCCAGGAAGAGCTTCCTCTGGTTTAGCTTAAGCCAGGAAGTCACATTAGGTGGACAAATTTATCAGCAGGCAGACGTGATGAGACGTGATGCAGCCAAAACCGGGTCGGGAATCGTTCTTAGTTTTAGCTGTTAATATATTATGGTTATTCAGCAGAGGCACCCATCATAGGAGACTAAAGTGCTTAAAAAGTATTTACATCCTTAAGGATTTCTATTGTTTTTGTGTTTTTGTTTCACCTAAATGTTTCAGATCAGCAAGTAAAACTTTTATATCAGACAAATAAAACGTGAGAGTAACCAAAAAGATTGGAAGATTAACACCTGAACCCCAACTATAAAGTCTTAAAAAAAAATGCAAACTTTAAAAAAAAAAAAAAAACGACTTTAAAAAATAAGCAATGCTAAGCCTGGTGGCCCGCCAGGCTTAAGATACACTGGAGGAAACCCTGGTGATGAAATGCTTGATTAAAAATGCAGAGTTCAAAATTATCATGGAGGCCTCTCTCGCACTTAAATATGCAATAAAAGTAGCAAAAACTATTGACATGAAATGTCAATACTAAACTTTTCACAATATAAGCATTTTTTATTTATGTGATAGATCAACACAGGGTTGAGACTCAAACTGTTGCCTATTAGAAAAAAATACAAAGACTCTACAAGATTAAACAGTACTGTCAAGACAACTTTAAAAACCTGCGATTAATGTATTAAAGACTTTTTTTATTTACATTTTATGGCCTTAATTACACAAATTGAAAACTTTGAGGATGTGTGGACACAAGGGATTGAAGGAATATAACGTAAGAAAGGAATGGCAGAAGAAAGGCAAAAAGGACAAACAAGGAAGGAACCAATGCCACAAATGAGGAAAAGAACGAGGATGAAGAACAGCCTGTACTTCTATAGCGCTTTATCAAATCCAAATTCACCCATTCACGCACACATTCATGCAGTGGCAGCTACTACAGAGTAGCCAAAGCTGACCTGGGGAAGTCTGACATCCACTACTGGAAAGAAAGTTAGAAAAAAACTTTTCTCACTGAGTTTTCTGACATTTACCAAATAGAAATAATCTTGGCAATTCTAACTGGCTTAAAAAAAGAGAAGTTTCATCTGATTTAACTACAAACAATGAGAAAATAAATGCACATCTTTTAATTCGGACCCAAAAGTAAGTTAAAAACTTAAGAATTAAGCTCTCTTTACCGTATTTTAATGGGAACTTAGTTAAAGTTTGCTGTTTTAAGGTGGCAAAATGAGAAAAAGCAAGAAGCTTTACTGCTGTGAACGCCTCAGCGGAGAACATGTTGCCAACGTTGCTAATCATCGAAGCAGCACAGAGGAGCATCGGAGATGTGAATGGTGGGACGGTTTGCCGTCAGGTTCCTTGCGGTTTGGATGTTTGGTTGAATCACAGCGAGGTAAATCTTCCTCCCGTCCCCATGCGGGGACTCGGATCTGCTTCCTGTTTACGCCAGCAAACAAAGATAACAAACCCTGCGCAGACAATTATAATAATTAGAGTAATCTGATTATGGCGACGGTGATGAGAACGATAATGGAAGAGCAGTGTGCTTTGTGTAATCAAATATATTGCCGACATGCAGGACGTCGTGTTTACACTTCATGTGTGCTTTTATGGAGGAAATGTCTGGGCGCTTCAAAGCAAAACGAAAAAAAAAAAAAAGGTCAACTCTGCGTGCTTTTATTGCCTTGGTGAAAAAAACGTGTTCTGTCCATTCAGAGTATAGCATTTACACCTTTTGCTGTGTTAGAGGGGGGCTTTTGTGGATGATTCATGCAGCCAGATTAATTCCCATGATCCTCTGCGTTTGGCAGCTGTGTTCTTGTTGTAGAAGAGCTCAACAGCTGAACAGCGTGGGGGGGAAACCAGCTAAGAATCACTTATAAGATCAACCGGTCTGAGATGTTCAAGGTAAGGATTTTAATAGAAAGTGGGCGGGACTTCCTATTACCCCCCCTCCTCCTCAAAATTAAACAAATGCTGCTTAATTTAAGATGATGTTGCATAAATTCTCCCAGCGGTGAGACAATCCACCCAGGGATGCCGCAGCTTTCAAAAGAGAACCAAAACAATACGGCCGCTGCGAGACAGGAAATCTGGGTCCTCCTGAAGATGTATGCAGGCAGTTGCCAAGGTAACGGCTTTTTCTGCTTTTCATTAAAGCTCAATGGGTGCTGCCCCGCTCGCTGCCGGCTTTTGCTGTCTGTGTGCGCGCACATTTAAAAAATAAAAAAAGAAGAACTGCATCCAGGTCTGCAACTTGTGTGTGTGTGTGCGTGTGTGTGTGTGTGTGTGTGTGTGTGTGTGTGTGTGCTCGTGCACAGCGTGAAAAGGGAAGCGTACAAGAGCAAATTGAGTTAGTCAGGAAGCAGGCCTGGAGTCTGATTTGATCAGTCTAATGTGTGATCAGTGTGAATGGGAACCTGGCACTCAGAGTCTCTGTCGCCATGCAGCTTAGGCTGCTTCAAACAATGCACCGGAGCCCAGAGGCGCAGATGGAGCAGCGAGCTAAGCTGGTCAGCGCTCAGCTGATTCCAGCTGATTCCAGACCCAATAGGCCCATTACTGCCTTCAAAGCTTGAGTTTTGCAGAGAAATCAAACGAAACCAGAACTGGTGGTGTGGTTAAAGGGAATGTTAAGGTGTGGTATCTAACATTTCTCTACAGTGATTTCTATTGTATAAGAAGCACACAGTAGCTCCAAGTGATCTGCAGCCACTAGATATTCCTCTATAAACGCTACACTACGTACAGCTCCATTGGAAACTTGAAGGATTTTCCACCAAATATTGATTTGTGAACTGAGTTAAAACATTAGCATTGTTGTTTCAAAATTAAAATGAACTTATTTCAGGTCTGAAAGCACTGCATCATTTTCCTAATTTTGACCGTTTCTCGTTTTCTGCAAATAAATACAAAATTTTTGCTTGGGATTTCAGTGACATGTTGTCAGTAGTTGATAGAGTAAAAGAACAAGGTTCATTTTACTCAAACATATTTCTATAAAAAAAGTAAAATCAGAAAACTGATCATTTTAAGAGTCTGTCACAAAGCCTAATTTTGCTGGATGATAAATTGTCCCAGAAATGATAATATTGTTGTTTTGAGACCATTTTTAAGTGATATTGGCATAATAGTGCACGTTTGGTCTCTCAAAGATTAAACTTTAATTTAGTAAAAATCACTTAACACTGGGAAAGAAAGACATTTCAAATGCCCCAAAACAGGAAACAAAATAGAAAGAAAAACTACTTAGAACTGAAACCATAATAAAATGGATTATGAACTCTCTCTAAATAAAATTGCCTTTTGAAAAACATTTTAAGATGATTTAAATTTATTACACAAGTAAACGATTAATTGAGCATGTCTCTACCAGTGTTGCACATCTGGATAATTTCTGCCCATCCAGCTTTCTGTTATTCTGATAAACATTTAACCTCCACCGACTGACGGCTAGAAAAGGTTAAGAAGTTCAGCTATAATCATTTCCTCACCAACGTAAGCAGCAAACAGAACATTCTTATGCTCCACCTGCCTCCACGAGCTTTAATTATAGCAAAAACTTGCAAAAGAGGTGACAAAGTTAATAAAGTGCACGCATTTGTTATTATAATGGCGTATACCTCGCAAATCAAGCGCCGAGTGAGCCAAGCGGTTGGCTTGAGCTCCGACAGTTTGTAAAAACTTTAACTGAACCTGCTGTGAAGTGTCAACACTCCGTTTCGTTCCCAGCAGGACGGTCTCTCCGCACACACAAACACACACACACACACACACACACACACACTCGCTCACTCACGCGGCGGCTATAAAGTGGAATGACAAGAGACGGCGACGGCGGCGGCTATAAAAAGCATGTGAGTCAGCTGCAGAGTGAGATCCCAGTTAGAAGCTGAATGACACAGATCATTACCACTCGCACAAATCACAGCTCTGGTTGAGCAGGAAGCGGCTCTCGCACTACCTGGGCTATTTTCAGCCACGTTTCTTTGTGTGATGATGGGGCCCGTCGTTTTATTTATTTATCTTTTTCCACGGCTCCGTAAAGTACAGAGTGTGGCAGATTTCTGACGTGGAAAAGCCTCACAGCGGGGAAACAAAAGGGGTCGCCTCATCCACTGGATCAGGAATGTGCTGGTTGTTCCAGAATGTGTTGATAAAACCCCTTAATAAACTAATAAAACAGTAATAACTATCAGTTCCTTTGGGATTTTGTGACCAGAATCAATCAGAATCACTGATTTTGAGGGGCAAATTCAGAAAAACCTATAAGGAATTTTGAGATATGAACATTAAGGTAAGGTTGGCTAAAGTTAATGAGAAACCACCTTATTTGTTTAACTTTAAATACTGTTAGTCGATTGTTACCTTCTGGCTCAACAGAGAATGACATTTATAAATGTGACTTTTTGTTGCTCGGACGACAACTTGACATCAAGTAAGACTTCTACTACAGCAGTGTAGAAGAAGTGAGACATACTGCCACCTGCAGGTGGGAGTTAGCATCACTTAAACCCAATATTTTGGACCTTTTTTTTTTTTTGGCAGAAATTTTGCAAAAAACTCCAGAGAAAATGTGGGGATCTGTTGATTTGTGAGTGAATTTCCACAAAGG